GCTAGAGGACGTCGTTTATGATGAACGAAAAAGGTTATAGGTGAGGATAGAACAATAAGAGAGAAAGAGGAAGCTCAGACTTTATAAAAAAAAAAGTACAGTGCAGAAATAGACAAGCCAAAGTCCTTACAACTTAATTTAATCTTTGGTTATCATCGGTCACACAAGTCCCAGCTCTGCAATCTCAGTACACATTGCTGCCAAAAATTATATCAGCTATTAGACTGTTTAACATTTTACTTGAGCAGTACATTAAAAGATATAGTAGCAATATTTAGACTTGGAATTCAATTTTATGGCAATTATTTTTTTTAATTAGTCACCTACTGAATGTTAGGCAAATATAACTCAGTATAATAAAGTATCTTTAGAGATTGAAATGAGCAGAATGTTTTGTAGTGTTATTAGTTACAACAAGCTAATAAACTTTCAGTAAGTGTACAGTAATGCAGTGCTTACTGTTAAAACCGGTGAGTCATGGCAGCAAATTGGAAGAAGTCACAGCATCAATGGCGCACACACACACAAACACACACACACACACAGAGTAGAGCCACACAATGTCACCAGTCCAAGGATGCCCTAAATGGGAAGGGAAATTGTCTGGTTCCCCATAACATTGTTCAGACATAGACTTGTCCATTTGTTTTCAAATAAAATACAAAATGGGGGAATGAAAAATAAAGGAAACAGCCCAAGGGACGTCTGATGAAGAAAAACAGCAGGGGTTGAACTGGTGAGAAGTTTAAATACACAAAGACCAAGATTAATTTCTTCACCTCTGGGGTTTTAGTCCGTTGGAGGATTTGGAATCTGGATTGACTGGGTCAAGAATGTTTCTGAGCTGTTTAGAATATTGTCATTACAGTGTGATTGTCAGTGCAGAGCGGAACCGAATAACGTTCACTTTTTGGGACAAATAAACACAGTTTTGCTCTGTTCTGTCGTGGCGTAGCTACTAATCTAACCCTCATTCCCACCCACACACAGATACACACCAGCTCACGTGGATATGTGTTTATATTAGAATTATCTCAACTCTGCATTTTTGCTGCTCAGCCAACCTACAATCCTAACGTTTGCATCCCAAGCTTCAGGGGGCTATTTTGTCATGTGGTCCTTTGCAGATTCTAGGTTTTCTTACTATCTTCAGGGGAGAACAAACATACACACACAGTGGGGTTATTTTTAGAAAAGACTCAGACTTTTTTATGCTCCACTAACCATTGCCAGGCAGGCTCGATATGTGTGTGTGTGGCCATAAATCTATTTTACAAAGTCAGACCATGGGGAAGCAAATCCCCAATATGTAAATAATTTTAGAGTGATGACTTGGTTTAAGGTTGGATAATGTTTTTTTTGTTCAAAAACCCTTAAAAACACAACAGTGAAACAACGCTGCACTGGGTGACATGTTTCTTCAGCACAAAACATCAGACCCACATTTGGGTTTGTTGAAAATGTTGCCCCAAAAACTCCAAATAGCCAGAAGTTTACAGTCATTTGCGCATGTGCAAGATCGCTGTGAAAACGTGAGGAGCTAGTGGACTGTAACTAAAGCAGAGAGGTCGTATGGAGAGGTCATGCATGTGCAACTGATTCTTACTTGCTTTAGATGCTGTGAAAAGTTATGGTTGTTTGGAACAGGTGTTTCGTGATGAAGAAACCTGTCACCCAGTGCAGTGGTGTTTTTCACTCATGTGTTTTTAAATGTTTTTGAAGGACAACAGAGGTCTGTTGCAGGGACAAACAAGCAAATCTATGTTGGAGACTAACAGACACAAATTGTGAGTAGAGACAAGTTGATTTTTGTCCCTGTATGAGATTAGCGGGAAATTTTATTAAGATAGAAAATGGCCACCCTTATCCTTTAAGGCTGGGATAAGGGGTTGAGCTAGGCTAAGTAGTGTTTTGTTTGAAAGTGATTTGAAAAAAACATATTACTGAGATCATCATGTAAATATACTTCACTGAAAATAAACAGCTAATACGACTTGGTTATTACACTTACTGCCTGTAGAGGCACAAGTCTAAAAATGAAGAATACATTTCTCTTCTTTCCTAGCAGCGTCCTAATGGGAGGACGCTGCCTAAATAGAGGTGAACACAGGTGCAGGATAATGAGGCGCAGGTGAAACTAATCTGAGTGAGGAGAAAAGGAAAAAAACCTATGCTATGGAAAAAACAAAAACAGGAAGTAGAGTAAAAATAAAAGTCTGACAGGAAACAGCGGAGTAGAATCGTGACAAATTACTACTACTGTACAGTTCTCAACTGCTGCTAACAATTCTTAACATATGCAAGTAGTGATGTGTTGAACCCCTCATCCTTGGTTATTAAAATAAAACTGGAAGACAAATCAGGACTGTAAATCAGGAAGTATTCTTTGTTATGATCTATCTATAGTTACAGCTTTGTTGCTGTTCCAGCTTTGATGCCATTCACTTTGGCACTTGGACAGATGTAGTCAGAAGTGGATGTGTGTGGATTATGTGAAAAAATTCAGGTTATTGCAAGAAAGCTGACACTTGTGTGTATCCATGTGGATCTCATCAAACTGGAACATAGCAGTCTAGTGTGAATAAGCACCCAGTCCTTACATGCAGGCAGCTAGTTGAACAAATGCTAACCTGACAAGTGAGCAATCCACCTGGGATCTCCACTGATACCATTGAATAATCCTGTCCTGGGGGCTACATCAGGACAAATGTCCCTGGAGAGGGCAAAGTCTGTCCTTTTCCAACTTTTTTAGGTGGTTTCAGGGGAATGCCTGGCTCATGGCTCCATAGAGAGTGGGGCTCTTCTGTTGTACTGCTCTGTTTGAGATTAATGATTAGAATTTGATTAGAATTAATGATAGAATTTGATTGTCAGTAACTTCAGTGACTTTTTGTAGCTGCTTGTGTTTGGAAGGACAATTTAGGTACTGCTAGATCTGGAGAAAATATTTCATTGTGATGTAAAAGTACAGCTCTGTTCTGCAGAATGAAATGAACAATGAATCACTGTCTCTACCTGCTTGGTTGTACTGGGTTGTACTCACCCACATCAGCAATCTACAAGATCTAATTTACAACCCGTATATGAGTTTCAGTGCTGTGCTGCTGACAAAAGCCTGTGGGAAGTTTAACAGTATATATTTTTATTCCAAAACTTCATAAACAAAAGCTACTTTCAAAATCAGCTTATATTTGCTGTGATTAGAGGTATGACTGCCTGGCAGCTTTAGTGAAGGCTGAACAAACGATCATAATGTATATCAGGGACACAACAGGAGCAAAAACAACAAACATGTCAAAATTAGCTTTGACTAAAACATCTAGATTGATTTGGTTTGTTAATATATCAAATTTCATAATATAATATATGATACATACTAATGAAAGTTGCTAAGAATTTAAAAAACATCCCAAGAGTCAGCTTCATCAACGCAGTTAATGTTTTATTCTGAACAATGATAAATGAGAGATAGAACAATTCACAGAAGGCCACAACAAAGTTAATATTTTATGTCTCATAGAGCAATTTAATCTAATCCCCAAGCATGTTTGTCTGTGTTCTTTGCAATTGTCTGTCACCTAAAAAGCTTTATATATGTGATCTATGGGCCAGGTCTAACAGCAATTCAAGAGCACAAAAGGACATTATATTTGGCAGCTGGTACATGATGTAGGGTGGCTCAAGATGGCTGAATAATGCAGGAAATATTTGCTCACACGGCTCAGCCTTATT